TGCCTTACTAGTAGTAACAAGTGCCTTACTAGTAGTAACAAGTGCCTGACTAGTAGTAACAAGTGCCTGACTAGTAGTAACAATGGTCAACTTTTTTCCCACAAAGTTTCCGTCTTACGCGATCGCACAGAGGTGCACTCGCTGAAGGAACTTTTTCAGGCAGACTGTTCCTGTGTTCGCTTGGCTCTGACCGCACACTCGCAATGCCTGGCAGTGCCTGGGCCATTCGTTGCAACTTAGAAACCACGAAACCTTTCGGTCATGCGGCAAATGCATATAGGCAATGCATAGGCAGCATGTGCATTGTTCACTTCATTCCAGCGGCATTCGCCGCAATGGCTTCGCGCCATGGGGTGCCATGTGGTGCCGAGGTCGCTCAGGTGGGAGCGAAGAACTACTAGGAGCGATCGAACGCTACTAGGAGCAACGGGCATCGCTAGGAACAAGGACGCTACTAGGAGCTATTTTCTCCTAGTAGTATGGCCAGGAGCCCCTAGTGGGCGGAGCCTCGGCCGTGCACGCGAAATTTGCTCGCCTGTACACGCTTGGATTTGCTCGGTTGTGCACGCGCTTTCTCGGTTGTGCACGCCGCTTTGCCCTGCTGTATGAATGAATAAATGCTTGATTGATTGGTTGAATGAAATGAAATGAAATGATGAATGTTGAAAGAGTGAAAGAATGAAATAATGCAATGATGAATGAATGAATGGAATGAAATGAAATGAAATGAAATGAAATGAAAGGAAAGTAAAGGAGAGGAAAGGAAAGGAATGAATGAATGAATGAACGAATGAATGAATGATTGATTGAATGAATGAATGGACGCATTATCTAACAGAGTTGGGCGAACATTTCATGTCCTTCAATGGAAGTACCTGTGGAAGCAATCAGCAAGAAGAGATCATCATGTAGATGAATGTCCAGAGGGACGTTATTAACACGAGCATGTGTGTGGAGACCTGACCCAACGACACATCATGAAGGAATGACATATCGTGTACGCATCACATCAAATCAATTTGTGTGTGCGCAGGTGAGCGAAATCTGTGTGCACAGGTGAGTTTGAGGTATCACGCACAGTTTGAACAAGGATGTGATCGATGCGTGCGCAGGTGAGTGAATCCTGTGTGCGCAGGTGAGTTACTTGTATCAAGAAATGCTGCGTGTACAGCTGAGCGAATCTTGCCTGCGCAAGTGAGGCGCCGTCCCCCCCTAGTAGCGTCCTTGTTCCTAATTCCTGTCCATCCCGTGTTTGGAGTTTCAGATTAATTTGTGGGTGCCTGTTTTTCTGTCCACAGTCGCCACCACAGAACTTGGAACCGCTAAACAAACTATTCGACGTTGGCAGTAAGGCTTATATTCTGGATTTACAAGAGGTAGGCTTTTAGAATAGAAAGAAAGGTCTGAAGGTTTAATGAAAAGGAAACAACATTTGCCTGTTCTTGTAGCAAGAAGGCGATGCCAGGTGGGTCATGTTTCGGCCTGCTCGCCGCCAGCAGCACTGCGCAGCTTGGTGTGAGGACAAGGATGGAAGGGCAGAATTTGAAGCGAACAGTGCAGTAAGTCTAAGAAAACTGAAAACTAAGAGCGATGGCCTCCAAGCTAATAGCGATTACCTGCAACCTAATAAGTCTATCAAGTCCAAGACATGCTTTGAAATACATTCTTGCTGCTGAAAGGAAGGGTGTTGGTAAGATGACAAATTTTGGGTGCGTCCTTCGACGTTTTTTTTGCAATGTATTCAGCTCATTCATTTGGCAGCTCCTGTGCTTTCACTGGTAACACAAATGCGTAAAGAAACCAAACTGTTTTTACAAACTCAGTCTTGTATGTGCTCAGGTACCTTGTGGGCCTGTGGCAGGGCGCCATGCTTTGTGGGAAGTTTGGGAAGATTCTTGGATGCAATGAATGAAGGACAAGAAACTAAGAAAAAAACATGGAAAGGTCTATACAAAGAATCATTTGTTTCATTAGAATATTAGAACATGATTTCATGTTGTTTCTTTAGAAATGAACTAGGGGTGAGGGGCAGTTGAGTTCAAGACCGACATGCAGAGCAAGGAGTGCCCATCACTAGGAGCTGTGAAACAAGCGACTCAGGCCAGAAAGCCTTGGAGGCGCCTTTTGGAACCCGCTGATTGGAACACGGTCGAACACTTGGTTTGAGGTGTTTTCATTGCTACCTTCATCTACCTTCCATTCGTTAACTGTGATTTCAACACACTTGACTCAAGTGACTGGAGCGAGTAAGCGAGCAGCTTATGAAAAAGGGACTTGAAACCAAAAAAAGGAGACACGAACAGAACCTAATGAAGCACAAGGCAGTAGGTTGGAGGCCGTCGCTATTTAGGAGCAAGAAGCTACTAGGGGCTCCTAGTAACAAAGACGCTACTATTTGCTCCGTTCGTAGCGATGCCCTTTGTTCCGTTCGTAGCGTCCTTGCCATCGCAAGTAGGTTGGTTGGGCGGGACGTCTCGCCACGCAGGTTCCGCCGAGCCGATGGACGGTGACGATGCCCCGAAGAGCTTCGACAGCGTCTCACCGACACAGGTAGCGTAGCGTATGCTTTGGAGCTTCGCGTGCTCATGGGGTTTGGAGACTTTTGACTTGGGAGCCTTGAAGAAGGGCTGGCCATCGCTATTCATTTGGTTCCTAGACTTTTAGGGAAACTTGAGGCTGGAGGCCATACCTATTAGTAAGAAGGGCATCGCTACTAGTAGCTAGGGCATTGCTACTAGTAGCATGAAGCTGCTAGGTTGGAGGCCATGGCTATAAGGTTTGGGTTCGGTTTTGCACGTTTTGCACATGTTTGCACCGCTCTGGGAGCTGAAAAGAGTTTCCTGAGCTCTAAACGACAATCGGTCTTGCAGTTTTTGTCTTTTTCAGGTCTACAATGGTCTACAGCCCATCCAGTTAATTGGATTATACGAACCGAACACACATTTCTCCAGTCGAACCAAGAGCTAGCTTGCTGCATCAAGAGCTAGCTACATCGTTTGAGGCCTTTCAGGTGGAGCAGAAAGTTTGGACTGTCATGACATTCGACACTGCACAGGAGGAGGTAAGCTTAGACGAGGTGTCAAGCGGAGAGCACAAAG